CTTTTTATTAAGCCTTAGTTCGTAGTATTCTATTTCTCCCTATGAGATCGATAACTAGGACTCCATTAGAGCCCTATATTACTTGAGCGATACGTATGCTTGCGTTGACAAATTCGACTTTGACATTATTGAATATTATATCTATACATCTTTATTAAATCAAACACATATATATAAAGTCGCAGTCAAGATTTTGACACCGTTGCTGGAATTTAAATCTTCTAGTAGCGTCATCAAATTCTTGTAATTGTCGATTTACAAAAAGAAAAAGGTCGGTCAGTGCTCCTGAATGGAGCAATCTTTGATAACTTGATCTCAGTGAGCTCTAATTCAATAAGTGGCCCTTTTTAATTTTTGTTTCAAATTTTATAATTACTTTTAAATAATGAGCTAAATTATATTATTTCATCAAAATTTTTAATCTACACATTACATTAGATGGAGAAACAAAAGAAAGGTGGTATATACATTTGACAGTGAGAGGCCAATATAATATTCTGTGATTTATGCTTGAAAGATATAAAAATTGGTATTAGACTAACCACACACTTGAATAAAGAAGGTTAACAAAATATAATTAAAAAATCATGAAATAATATAAGACTGTTTGATAAAACTCAATTGAAGAACAAATGAGTTCAATCGAAAAAAGATTGAAGATTGTGGAAGAAATTAAAGAGATGGACAACTGGATTAGGCTGGGACCATATTAAGAAAATAGCGAATACAACAGATGAGTGGTGGAGAAGAAAAAACTAGTAGTACAAAATGTCATATGAACTCTTCATTTTCACATATTTATTAAAATTTGATTTTATCAATTGTATGTCCCGCCCAATGCTAAAAAAACAGGATTTCTAGCATATACTTTAAATTGGAGGAAAAAATTGATTCTATGTTTCTTGGTGTTATGGCTATGGGATCCAATGTCTGGGCAACAACACAGAGCTTCCCCCAAAATTTGGATGAGCCAGAATATGTTCATTCAAATGAAGCCCAAGAGGAAGCACAACATGAGAGAAACAAAATGAATCAAGTCATTCAAAACACTTAACACCCTTCACACAAAAGCAAAAAAAAAAAAAAAAAAAAAAAAAAAATGAAGGCCGACACCCAACATTTATCTGAGCATATTTCAAAACTGTTTACAACCAACACCAGTATGAGATCCAGTTTTGCACCACTATTCAGAGATGCCCAGACAAAAGTTGTGAAACTATTGGAATCCACTCCCGAGATATTTGATATTACGGCCTTATATTTATTTTTCATAAAACTTTTTGAGAATCAGACAAAGAGCGAGGCTTTCATGATGATAGTGCTAGAACGAAGGATTCCTTACATTCAATATTTTTTTAAAAATCAGACAAATTAGTTTGTGCTTTTTTTATTCCTCATTGGTGTGTAATAATTTAAACTTTTATGCCAAACAATATCTCGTGATGTGTTGATGTGATATTTGAACAAGTATGTTTCACACTAGTTGTAGTACTTTATTTATATAATTATTCACTTATAGCATAACTTGTTATTTTTAATATATTCTAACATGCATAAAATAGTCAGATGGACTCCTCGAATGAAGATGAGATTTCAGGGATAGTACAACAAGCTGTAGTTATGACTACTACTTCATGTCTTATCAATGATTATTACCAGACAAAATTGTGCAAGACAAATTGTGTGTCATTGTCATCTATGGGAGATAAGTGGATTGGTGACCTATTCTAAGGCGATCCGGGCATAATTCATAGTATGTTTCAAATATCTGGATTTTGTTTTTGATTTGCTAACTAAATTATTGGATCGTCCCGATTTACACTCACGGAAGTACTAGCTATTACTTTATATATTATATCACATAATGAGTCCAATCGTGTTGCTTTCTAATGATTCAATTACTCAATAAAGGCTATCAGCAAATATTTCGATATTAGAGTTAATTACTTATTTAGAATAACAAACAACATTATCAAAAATTATAGATTTTGTTTTTGCTCATACACCAAGAGAAATTCGTAATGATACAAGATAATGTCGTTCTTTAAGATATTCATTATCTATTTAATTTGCATGGATGTTTTATAAAAAAATATTCTAACAATTTTCTTAAATATAATTATATAGGAGTAATTTGCATCATGCATGTCGATGCACACGTTGACAATAATAACAAGATTGCATATATATATATATATA